CATTTTTCACTCTTTTTTATATTTTTAAATTTTTTTAAACATTTTGTCAATTACCAAACGCATTTGTAGTTTATGTTTTTCTAAAAATAAACAAAAACCAATTTATAAAAATTTTTGTAAATATAAACTGAAAACATAAACGTTACCAAACACAATTTAGTTTTGTGTTTCTGTTTTCAAAATAATTCAGGAGAGAAGTGAAGAAAAAATATGAGTTATCCTCTCCTGACTTTCCGAAAGATAAAAGCAGAGAAAAGAAACTTTATATGAATTTGAATTCTTGTTTTGATAACTGTTTTCAAAAAACTTAGGAACAACAAAGCACCAAATGGGCCTATCCTTTGAGAATTTCACCAAACTAGTCTTAAAAACTTTGATAGAAACATGTAGGCTAGTCACCTTGATCTCCTGCTTCACTGTGGTTGCTAGAAACTGGTTGAAACTCCATGGTAGATACAGAGATTGCACGTTGGATACATTACGGAGATAATAATGTATGTAGTCATTGGTTCCGATTGAAATGTAAAATACTGAGTTTGAGATGAGTTTAGTTGCCGCGTCCTCGCCCATGTTCAGTGTAAACTGCTGAATGGTATCCGTAACCTGCTGAATTTGTTGCGTAAATGAGATGTGTTGACCCTGCAGAACATCAATCAAAAACCCAAAAAAAAAAAAAAAAAGTTATGGATTTCAATTATGGTCTATTTGATTGCCAAGAAAATTGGGGGAAAAAGATTGAAACTTGGAAATCAAAGGAATTAGCGATACATTGAACATGACGAGTTTCAGATACCTTCTCTATTCTCTAAAATTATTATCACTTTCTCAGCATTTACGGAACAGAATTGATCAATGATGTTGTCAATTCACAAACAACACTAATGTTTAATGCTACTTTCTGATTAAATAAACAACAAAAGTGGAAAATCTACCAATTCTGACCCACTTGAGAAAATGATTCCAGCACCAGCAGATGCATAATTCACTCCATGAATCATATCTTCGACACTACCGGTCTGCCCGAGATAACTCGGCACAAATGGAAGCCCAAGACGCTTAGCTGATCAAAGTAATCAAAAATATCAAAATTGATACAGAAACATCAATACATAGCAAACAAATGCCCATTCGGTTATCAAGAAAATGTAAAAATAAAAAAATTCAGAGCATAACCCAATCAAGAACTACAACCCAAGAAAACAAATTCAACTGAAAACTCACTAACAAGAAAAATACCCGTTTGGTTTCCAAGAATATGTAGGGGGAAATCAAATACCCCAAGAAAACTACAACCTTCAGATCCTATGCTCAACCGATTTTAATAAATTCAATTCTTATAAAACAAACCCACAAAAACCCATGATTCCCTTTCATTGTTTTTACAGTATCGTCTATTTTCCCAGAAACCAAACAGGAAATCAAGAAAGTGGGTATTACCAAGATAATCAACGGGGATTCTTCCATTGCAGAAACGTCCAGTGGGCTGGTGGGTATCGAAGTCTCGTCCGTAGGGAAGACGATCGGCACGGGCCAAAGTTCCAAGGAAATTGTTGGTGCCGCAGTCAACGGAAGAGTCTCCGATGACGAATAGGGCTGGAACTGGAAGAGAAGAAGTCGCTGTTGGGTATGTTAGGGGATGTCGTGATTGAGAAGGAGACATTGTTGGGCTTGTGAGATCGCCAATGAGGTCTGATTGGTAGCCATTGATGAGTTCTTGAGGGTATTGCAGAGCTCTTGGCTGAAGAAACAGGGCGGAGATGAAAACGAAGAGAGCGAAAATTACAGGGGAATTCATTGATAGTTTGAGGGATGAGAGAGAGAGATCAGTTGGCGGGTAAATGGAGGTTTGAATTAACCAAAACTCCGAAATGCCTTGGGCATCTCTAATTGGTGCATCAAATTTTTCATTTAAAAGTATCTCCAACAGTCTACCAAATTTTTCACAATTTGAGTTAAAAAAGATTTATTTTCTCATTTTGATATAGAGCGCTCCAATGGTGGGCATCAAAATAGGGGTCAACAAGTAAGGCATATTTTCTTTTTTTTTTTCTTTTTTTTATCTCTTTGAACCTTTTGACCTGTTTGAACCAAAATTTTTGTAAGGGAACCGGTGGACCGATTGGTCAACCGGCTGGTCGACCAGTTGGTCTCCCTAACGGTCACGCACAGTGAAATGGTGAAAGCTACTGCCTGTTCTCACTTTGATAAATTTTTTGTAAATTCTCAATTTGATACCGATTTGGTGCAACCGTTGGAGCACCAAACAGTGACTTTTTCACCAAAATTCAAATTTGATGTCCAGTTTGGTGAACCGTTGGAAATGGTCTAAGTAAAAATTTAAATAAAAATTCTAGTATTTGATATCAATAGTTTCAACGGAGGTTTTTGAAATTTTATCAAAATACTAGTCAATCGGGCAAACAACCAAGCAAATGTCCGACCGATCGATTGGCCAAATTTTTCACAAATTTTTGTCTTGAGGTACTCATCCGAGGGTCGACCGGCCAGTATATTTTTTCACAAATTTTTATCTTGGAGTGGTCATCTGGGAAACATCTGGAGGGATGTCCTGGTAAAAATCAAATGATTATAAACAGTGATTTGAGCGAAAACACATTCACCATGCTTGGTTTCAGTTTTTCAAAAACTATTTTCAGAAAATTTTACTTTCTTATTTTTTGTATTTTTTTGTTTTTACTGATTTTTCTAATATTTTAAGCAATTTTTTTTACTTTTTAAACATACCTAACATAAACATACCTAAAAAGTAAAAAATTTGTGAAAGAAACCTTTTAAAAATTCACTAAATATTAAAAATACAAAAAAAAAATACGAGAATTCAATACATTTTTTGTATTTTTATGTATTTATTAATTTTTAAAAATATTTTTACACAAATTTTTTATTTTTTGGATACATCTAAATAAGGTGCATCTAAAAAAGTAAAAAAAATATTTAAAATTTTAAAAAAATTCACTAAAAACAAAAAAACATGAAAACCAAAAAACTCAATTTTCAAAAAACTTAACTCAAAAAACTCAAACCAAACAACTTGATAAAAATAAATAAATAAATAAATTTAATACATATTTGATGAAACCGTTAGGATAAAAAATGCATCATTTTTCATCAAATTTGAGTTTGAGTAATTATTGGAGATGCCGTTTGATGCGTATGTATTAGGGTTTAGGTTTTTTTTTTCAGTTCCGATTTGCAGCTCAAAATTCGGAGGCTCGAATTTGGCTCAACACCAAAACGACGTCGTTTTGGTGTCTTTTTTTTTCGCCATTTTCTGAAGCTGAAGAGGAAGAAAAAGAAGAGAAGAAGAAAAATAAGAGAAGAAGAAGAAGAAAGAAGAAACATCAACAGCTGGGTTTCATCAACAATGCAAATAGATGATAATATGATAGTTCGGGCAATATATTTTATCATCAAGGCATGGGTAACTTTGTATATACAGATTCAGATCCCTCATCTTCTCTTCCCTCTTCAGATTTGAATCTATAAAACAATTATATTGCCCGAACAAACATCCAGATTCAAATCTACAGATTGTGTATATAAAACTAAAACAACTAGTTCACATCCAAAACAACTAAAAAATATATATATATATATATATATACAGATTCAGATCCAAATCCAAATCCAAATCCAGATCCAGAACTAAAAAAAATATATACAGAACAGAACACCTTTTTTTCAGATTCATCATCATCAACAACTTTTTTTTATTTATTTTTTTTCAGATCCAGAACAAGTAAAAAATAAATAAATATACAGAACAGATTCAGATTCAGATCCAGAACTAAAAATAAATAAATAAATATACAAAAATATACATAACAGATTCTTCTCCTCCTCTCTTCCGCGCCATCACCGACCGCCATCACCGATCTTCCTTCTCTTCTCTCTTCCTCTTCTCTTCTCTCTCTCTCTCCCTTTCCCTCCTCTTCTCTTCCCTCTCCGTCTCTGTGTTCGAAAGAATGAAGGGGAAAGAATGAAAAGGAAAGGAATAAAGAAGAAAAAAAAAGAAGAAAAAAAAAAAAAAAAAAAAAAACAGCCCAAAACGACGTCGTTTTGGGCTGTCGAGCCATTCGGGCCATAGTAATTTCGAGCTACCACTCATTTCTCTTTTTTTTTTTTTGGATGGTAGGTTTAGGATTAGTGTGTTAAATTTGTGAATGGATCTAACAGTTAAGATAATTATTTTAAGTAATTTGACACATTTGAAACATTTTATAACAGTAATTGTGTTCTGTGTGTATTTTCAGGGCAAAAAAAACATTTATGTACTAGTTACATCAATAGTGCTATTTGGAAAGTTAGGTTTTGGGTTTTTTTTGTTTTTTTTTACTAAAAGACAAATTGGTTATAAAATCAAAAAAAACAAATTCAAACAAAATATCACATCAAATCCCATAATTATTTCACTTTTTCTCTCACAAACATCACATCCAACCACAAAAAAACCTCACTATCTGTGTAAGTGATTTCTTGACCACACTGCCCGCTTAGTAATCAACTGGAGAGCACCGGCAGAATATATGGCTTCAGCTAACCTGTAACAGAAAGAAAAGGCTTCGGCGATGGTTCTTCCACCCGGGGGCACTCCGATGATCAAGTCAGTATATCTCTCAAAGATAATCAAGTGCTAAACTTATTGCTCAAAACATAAATTGCGTACCTTAGACCCACAAAGGTGCCTCTCTTTTATAGTTAACTCAGTCCAAGTCCCACTAGAAGTATGACTTCTATGGACTCCAATTCTGTGCTTACTTGGATTCCTCAAAAGATAAAGATAAACTCCCTAAGAGCTTTATCCTTATCTTGGCCAAGTCTCTTCTTTGTCCTAGGACTCTTGTCCCATATCCACTTATCTCGGACTCCGGTATTATCGCACATAACCTCGACTACTCCGAGATAACCTCGGCATAACTACCACGACACGTGGCACCTCGGCTTACACGTCGGCGTCGCCTTGCCACGTGTTGGTTCTCTGAAAACATATCCCCACAACTGCCCCCTAGGTTCTATTACTTCGGTATCCTGAGGTGATGGAACCTATATCGATATTTCTTTCTGTATAATGGCTCAAAAAACTGTTTAGCCGAGATCATTCATTTCAAGCCGACGTGTTCTCTTCGGAGAACAAGAACTCAAACGAACTCCCCCACGCGCATGAGCTGTCATGCATCACTTCTCAACCGTTCCCCTCACGTGCTTTATCTTCATTGGCCCGTGTCTGTGACACGCTTGTAAGCTGTCTTTCATCCGTCTGCGCCGTCTGACGCATGCGTTCCTCTAGGCGCAATAAATGCCCTGTTTTGCCGCCGTTTTAAGTTTTTGATAAAACTTTTCTTTCCATCTTCATTTCTTCACTTTTGCACTCGATTTTCTGGCTCTCTCTCTCTAAACTTTCTCAAATCCGCCATTGCTCTAGCTCCAAGCTCTGTAACCGTCTTCATTCGTCCATTCCAGTGAAGCTTTCGCCGTTCCGTCGTGTCTGCAACCGTTGTCTTACCTCGGCGACTTTCATTCCGGCTTCATTTGTTTTGGTAAGTCTCTGCTCCTCTTATTCCCAATTTCTTCTATGTGCTTTCGTTTACTTGCTGTTATTATTGCTTTGTTCAAACCTTTGATTTGCTGAACTATTCATCTGGATATGTCTGTTCCATGATTTCGCTCATATCTTAAACACTTGCACTGTTTCAACACTTTTCTTGCCACTGTTCTTGACCTTTTACTTCTATATTTCTTTCGCTTTTGAGAATCATACCTCTGTTCTTTGATTCTGAAACGTCATTCTTTGTTTCTTGTTTTCTGTTTTTCCTTTCTAGATCTGTGCCTTTGATCTTCATCTTCATAGTTCTTAGGCTTGGGATTTGTTTGTAGAACCTTTAATTTTTAGGGAAAACTGAAACAAGCCGTACCAATACTTACCTAGGTTTTTGCCGAGGTTCCAATAACCCTTTAAGAACATCTTCTCTTGGTAATCAAATTCCTTTACACCGAAATTATGGGCATGTGGAGACATAGGGTAAATACCCCAACCAAACTCGAATACTTTAGGGAAGAGTTCTCCATTCCAGCAGATGTTCACCTTAGGCTAGCTGGGGATGACGATTCCATTATGCCTACAGACAATACGGTGCCTTTTCCTATTGTAGCCTTTACTGAATGTGGACTCCGGCTTCCACTTAATCCCCTTTTTCGCGAAGTTCTCCACTACTATAGGTTGAACCCCATGCAACTTACCATCAACTCCTATCGAGTGATTAATGGTATCATAACCCTAGCTGGGCAGGAGAACGTTAGAATCTCCCTTGCCGATATACAGTATTGTTACACCATGTGCCCCCTTAACCTGAAGGAAAAAGGTTACGTCTATTACCTCAAGCCGAGGTCTACTGAATTCAAAATCGTAGCCGACCTTCCAAACTCCAACAAGGGGGCTGGAGATGATTATATTATTGCTTCGAGAAATTGGGAGTTTGGTGCAGACGAGGACGCCCATCTCTACCCTCTTCCCCGATCAATTAAAGAGAGCAAGGGTAAGAGCCCAGTGTCAATACTTAGTTGTTTCTGTTCAAGTATTCAATACTTTCTGTTTCTAATGTCTGTTTGTTTGTCTTGCAGATCTTCATCAGCCACCGAAAAGCTTCCGTCAATCCTACTTTCCAAGCGAAGGTTTAAAGAAACTCTTAGATCTTCCAATCAAAAAACGCAGAGCCCCCCTGGTATTAAACTTTATCCCGATGTACAAATCCACTCTGCCCGACGTCTCGAAGAAGAAGAAGAAGAGTCTTTCTCCACCTTCTGCCACAACTCTTCCCACTGTTTCCACATCACGAGCAGACCAAGGATCCACTTCTGTCCCAGCCGATCTGTC